CCTCTACTACCACACACATACAAACAGATCACGTTGAGGAAAAGTAAGAATCAATGGTGAAAAACCTCAAGAATCGGTCCAAGAATGAATGGACAGAGTGACTGTTGAAGGACTATCAGCCCATTTGAGTGGCTCATGTGTCTGAGTCACTCTATAAGAATAGATATAGCTGCTGCTGGTAGGCAACCTTCCTCATATGTGGATGAGGAGAGTGGAGGAAATGAAAGGTGGGACAAAGAGGAAAGAGGGGGGTAAAAAGAAGGTGAGATGGACAGGAAAATAGATAAACAGAGAGACGGATGAAATAGGCAAGAAGAGCACAGAGGGGAAAGAGTGTGACAAACACGATAAAGAGAAAGGGAGCATAAGATGAAGAAAGAGAGACATAAGGACAGCGGGAAAGAGAGAGGGAGAGAGGAGGGAAAGGGAGCAATAGAGAAATCAGCAGGGATAGCGAGAGGAAGAGAGACAAAGACAGGCAGAGGGGAAAGCTGGAGAGAGTGGTGGAGAGACTAAGGAGGCCAGCGAGAGAGCAGGAGAGAGAAAGAGAGCAGTCAGTACGTGCTCCAATTCATTTGGAGTTTCATTAGAGGAAGCGAGACAGAAAGAGGGAGACGGGGAGCAGAACAAAAGCAATCAAGGGATTTTCAGGAGAAGAGATGTGTGGCCAAAATCAATAAGTACTCCTTCACTCCCTCACTCTGCCCAGCACTCAGCACCCAGCAGACACACCATCAGTGCCCAGGCAGAGCGCGCACACACACACACAGCAGGAGCCTCACTCCATCTTCTGCCATGTAAAAGCAACAAAATATAGACTGAGATTATTAATAAAAGAAACAAAAACAAGATTAAATGGAATAGGAAATAAGGTAGAAAGTTGTAGGAAGGAGAGATAAAAATGTGTTTGACAATGAGCTGTGTGTGTGTGTGTGTTAGAGAAGTATTCTATGGGTTTGTGTGCATGTACACGTGTTTTACTTAACATTTTCTGTATTTACTGTACTGATGTTTCAGTAGTTATCCAGCCAGGCAGCTCCTAATCAGCTCAAAACTGCTGGTGGTGTTTCGCCTACAAGGCGCTGCATTAGCATTAAAATCTATAACACTGCAAAACTGAATCAAATTTAAATTGCAAGTGGAGTGTATTAATTATTGGCAAAACTGGCTTTTCCTGTGAAGGAGAAGTAGGCATGTGTCATACACAAGACTCACTGCGTCTGAAAAGGGTGTGCACATTTTTTTGGGGCACTTTTTTTGAAAGGAGATCAGTTTGAAAGAAAGAAAATGAACTTAAGAAAAAAAATTAAAAAAAGAATGACAGCATCTTCTAATTTATGCAGGAATTGCGTTCAAAGAACAATGGATTAAAGAGTTTTTCCAGGTAACAACACAGAAGCAGTTTGTGTTGAGCGGCACAAAAACTGATGGTCTTGGTCTGATGACAACCAGGCTCTTGTAACAATTTTAGGGCATACAGTTTAAATTTTAAGATCACCAACAGTCAATCAGTATTTCCTCCAGGAAAAGTGGTTGGCGGTGGTGATAAGTGATGCCCACTTTTTCGCT